ACTAATCTTAAACCAACCAAAATAAAAATATAAATTGTAATTTCAAGGCGTTCGACTAATGATATCAGCAAAATTTAGTTCAATACCGTAACTTTTCTAAGACAGTTTGATAGTTTCTGATTATCACTAAAGTTGGTAAGCTGTTTCCTCTAAAGAACCTTTACATTCTATAATTTTTAGAATATACTTTCAACAGTTGAATTCTAGCCCACAAAGAAAAAATATTCCTAAGTAAATAAACGGAAAAACACTAATTTGGCTAGTAAAGAAGGAGTGAACTTTAAAACCGTACAAGTCCAGAAGATAGGACAAAGTTTAATAAAAACAGGATGGTGCACTGAGTCAGGAAAAAATATTTCATCACTATTATTAGCCTACCCCCTTTTTGAAAAAGACAAATAACGTCCCCAATGTTGTTGTTTCAGATCATCAACGTGTTTGTTACATAATTCGTTATTTTCCCTCTGAAAACTCTGAAATAATGCATAAAATAAATTTCTTAACTGGGCTCAAGCAGATGCCTATCAACGGAAAACGTCCTGACTCGTCACCATACGTAAGCGCTGCCGCAGTACGTAGCGCGAAGAGTGGGGGAGCGCGCTGCCGAGCGGCGAATTTTCTCATATACCTGGCTGGGCCTACGAGCATTTGTAAATACGCAACCCGGCCACTGCCCGCCCCCTGTCTCCTCTATGCCGCTAATACGCCAAATTACAAGATTGCAAGCAACAAGCAGCCATACACAAACGAGGAAACCAGACTTATTGTTAAATTTTGATCATTTGCTTTCAACATCGATTCCTGATTGAGACTGTTTACCTTGTGCTGCCAACTGTTGAACTTTTAAATCAAATTATAATGAAATATTCTAAACCCTATCAATCGCTACGTTCTTCATGATTAAAAAAGCTCGTAATTTGTCCATTCCTAAACAAATTAACTTTTAGTGCGGTCGGCTACAGTGTAAGAGGTAGTTTAGGTAAATGTATACTTGAGTGACTCGTCGAGCTGGAGTCACTCAAGTATACCATTGTAAAGGGATTTTTAAGTAGAATCAGGAACACTCTTTACATATTAGCGCTCGAGTCTAGCTTGTGATTCCTCTCAAAAATCCCTATCCAATGGTATACTTGAGTGACTCCAGCTCGAGGAGTCACTCAAGTATACATTTACCGAAGTTTATTCTCAAAGACAGACAGAATCTTGACCAACACCTCGACGAGTCCACCGGAAAGCTCGGTCCACTGTTACGAAGAGCTTCGCCACACTCAGCTAAATATGTCGTTCATGCAATCATCCATAACTCAAGCATGTGTTTACTGTTTTTTCCGAAGACTTCCGGCAACCGAAGGCGTTATCGGCGGGACTGGCAGCAGTGGGCAATGTGCCTTCCAGCTGAGTGCGGTCGGCGTGGTGCACTATCTGACCTGTGAGTGTTAACTGCTTATCTATATTAAAAACAAGCAGGCCCGCCCATCCACCAAACGAAGTTGCCAGCCTCACTTCGCCCCGCAAGCAACTCCGTTCAGCAGGGGGCCCGGCCTGCTTGACCCGTCGGTGGCGTATTGTCGGGCCTAGGCCCCGACATATAAGTCACTGTAAGGGAAGGTGGGGTAGATTGGGACGGATTTTTCCTTTTTGCTGTAGGTCGGAGATCATGCATTGTTGGAATGACCGGCACTGGCTACAATTGTACATTAATATGTGGCCTATCATAGCCTATGTCGTCCTGATTTTTTGTTTCATGCTCTTTGGCTGTAGAGAGATTTCCCCGAAATGTGTCACCTGTCCCAATGTTCCCGGGCACGGGGCACATTGGGACACCATAAGAATACATAAGATGGGGCACATTGGGACAGTTGACGCGTTTTCCTGTGAAATCTCAGTATACGAACCGCCATGCGGTCTGGAAGCCTAAATAGGCCAGTTATCTACAAGATGAGACAGTTTTTGGATTTTTTGAGGGGTTACATTGAGCACTTTTGGTGTACTGTCTTAGTGTGCACTTAATTGCCTTTCTGTGATTTCTTTCTTTTTCTTCGGTATTTTGGGATTCAACTCAAAATTCTTACTTGCAAAATGCGTCGTAAGGAACTACCTACTGATCGGCCACTTGCGCGATTTTCTATCTCATTTCAGTTTGCGTAGAAAATAGCAAAATAAAATAAGAAGGTACCTTACTTTTAACAGATTTTTGGGCTTATCGTATTTTGATATTTTCTGTACATCAGACATGGTGTGCAATCTTCCCAACACTGATACCATCATGAAATATGCTAACATTGGCTACGTGTCAATTTTTTTCAGCACTTAAATACTGTTAGAAATATGTGATATTGCTACTGTCCCAATGTACCCCGTGTCCCAATCTACCCCACCTTCCCTTATATATTTCGAACAAACTTAGGCTTTGAGGGGAGCCTCTACGGCTCTTAAGATGAGCTCCTTGCACATGAGAAAAGACTGTAACGGTGCAACACCATGAGTACACTCCACCCTTCTGCTCTGAAAATGTATAAAAAAATAACAAACACAATTTTTAGCTTGTATTGAGACAGTCTGAAAACTGGACTTTTTGCCATTGTTGTGAGTATATCGACCTCTAGCTCTGAAACGAATAAACATACGTACAGCAATTCCAAGGACTGATTCTGATTCAGAATATGTTGTTTTGGATAAAACTTTCTCTGTCATGGTTCGATTTAAGGCCTTCCTGTCTTTTTGTACAACGTGGCCATTTTCGGCGTATTTCGTTTTTTCGTCGAAAAAGCCAAACGGACAAAGTTTAATCCAAAGGGATAGACTATTAGTCCAAGAAAGTTAGGGTTTGAGGTGGAAAAAAGATCGCTCACAATTTTTTTCGAAGGATTTCGACTCATAAGACCTACCTTTACAACATATCGAAGTTCCCCAATAATCCCCGCATTGGCATTTTTGTAGTATGAAACATTTACTTTATTTTATGAATTTCAGTAAAATGTGAAATCTGTTCGGTAAACTCGGACGGGTTTTAAATTGCAAGTAATGCTAGTTTTTATCAGTTTTGGGATTATACATGGGCAAAGGTCACATAAAACCATTACATTTTGATCGATTTTGGAATAAAAATCCTATAAACAAGTCGAATTTTAGCCGAAAACATTTGAAATAGGAGAGAATCCGTGATTCGTTGGTTCTATGTGTTTTCGCGGGTGCTCTACCGATTTGTATAAGGTGCTACGCTGGAATAGCATTCCGTGTTCCTATTTGAGCCTAAAAATTGCCAAATCGGCCAATTCATTTACAATCAACGACCAATTAACGCTGTCGTATCGTTAGTGAAGTGGGCTTGATCGATTCCTCTGCCCCCTTCGGTTATTCTGACCGAATGCTTTACCTTACTCTGCGCGATGCGCCGCACGGCCTCGTCCAAGTCACCTAGAAGCCACTAGGTGTATCGTCCCCTACACGAAAACTGGGAAATTAGTGTTTCATAGGGTCTAAAAATCCGTCAAGTCCACATTTTCAGTGTGGCTTAAAGGGCTTCGCGTGCTTGGTGTGGGCTATGGACCGACGAACGCAGACACAAGGACCTGTATCTAGGCTAGGTAGATGTTCAAATTATGCATCGAAAAAGTCTGCAGTCGTCAATTGGATATGTGCAAAGGGTTTTTGAGTCACAAAATTGCTCAAACTTGACAGAACCTTGTCTCCTGCTTGAAAAGAAACGCCGGTGAAAAGGGCTCGATTGACTTGAATATATAACTAAGCATACTTGTTTTTGAACTTGAACAAACATCTTTAGAAGCTATTCGACGCGTCCTACGAACAAAGGTCGATCTCCCGGCGCTCCGTTCAACACTGTCCGATCTCCTTTTCGGGCTTTGCAGCGAGGTGGAAGTTTAAACGCCTCGTTTGTCTGTACGTCAAGATTATAGCATTTTATTATTGTCCCAGAATTTATAAGTTTCCTTATTAGTGAACTATCAACAAAGATATCGCGGCTTGAATCCTACGGTGCATATAAAAGCTGAAAAGGAGATCGGACAGCGTTGAACGGCGCGCCCGGAGATCGAACTTTGTGGAACGGCGCGCCCGGAGATCGGACAGTGTTAAACAGCTCGCCGGGAGATCGAACTTTGTTCGTACGACGCGTCGTATTTACCTCCCCCCCCCCCTCAAAAAATACAGCACATTCTGATGGCACACTGTCCCTCAGACCACAAACCACAACCACATCGACTTTCTTGACAGTAAAAATTGTCATAGAAACTTCTGAGTTTTTTCAAAGAGGGGTGAAAGGTTGACGAAAGTCCAGAAATCTGCGTAGTTTATTGTTGCTAGGTTCAAAATTTGAGAAACATTGAACGGCTAGACTGTTCAATTCGTTCCGCCTTTGTCCCCGCTCCGCCAACACAACATGTCCGAGTCGGCGGCGGCGGTCCCCTGCCCCGCCCCCAACCCAAACAATTTTTAGGCCCCCGTTAGGGGTGCCTATTGCTTTCGCCCGAAAGTTTTTTTCTTTTTATTCTTGACGATGGCCCCTTATGGCAGAACCAATCGTGCCCAAGCGATTTGGACAAAATTTTACTCAAAAATACTTCGAGAAATTAGAAATTTTTTGAGGTAGGTTTCATGTTAAATTGTCTGATGAAATTTG